ATTGCGATCTCACATGTTTTTTATTATTATTGCTTATATTTATCGGCTCAGTCCCGTCAGTGGTTAAGCCGGATGTAGTGATTGCGATCTCACATATTTTTTTTAATGCTAATAATTATCTGTCTCAGTCCCGTCAGTGGTTGAGCCAGGTGGTGGCTGTGGTCTCCACATATAAATTTATTTTTCAGAAGATGTCCAATTGACACAGTAGTGCCGAGAACCTCACTAGCGTCAGAATTGGCCGTGTTAGCACTGTTACCTAGAGTCGCCTCTGGTCAGGGAGATAAGCACGTATTGATGACGATGCGTGAATAACCGGGCTTTTCGTCGGCATCATGTTGGTGTTTCACTCGCTACGTCATTACTTGTGTTTTTGTATTCAATATTCATACGATTATAGTGGTGTTTAATCATATTTGGATTTTTAATTTTAATTAATATTTATACCCCCTTCGTTTCTAACACTATAGTGTTTTACTTTTAATACATAATATTTTTATGTGATATTTAACAAATAATTAAAAGTTGTGGACTTTTCTTTACTCTTTTACTTTTGTCCCAATTATTTCAAGAAACTTGTGTTAAGATTTAAAATGTACTATCGATGAGGTGGCGCCAATTTGCAAGCGTGCTAATTCGAGACATACATTTTATTAAACGCATTGTGTATATTTAAAGTGACGTCTTCGAATGAAAAAAGTTGAGTTAAGAAGAAAGCTTTCTTATTTCGCATTAGAATTAGGATTATTGCAACGAGCAAAGTCACAGCTCACAACTCTAACAGCTAATCAACCACTGATGCCGCATCGAGGCATCCTGTCGCTCAAACAAATATCAAAATAATACTTCTGCTGTTAATTTTGTAGATCAATTTAATATTAACTTCTGTTCTGTGGCTCATGTGAAAAACAGACTCATAAACATTAAACCAACGCATACAATGGGAACCAATCTCATTCCAGCTTTCCTTCTTCACGATTGTGCATCTGCCTTAGCAGCTACGCTTGCAATATTATTCAATTTGTGTCTTAAAAATAATTACTTTCCTGAATGCTTACAAAATGATAAACTAATACCAATATTTAAAAAGGGTAATAAACAACTAATAGAAAATTATAGGCCAATAACTATCATTAATAACATATCTAAAGCATTTGAAATATTTTTATACTCTCCTATCTTCGAACATTTAAAAAATCAGATTTATGAGAAGCAGCATGGTTTTTACATAGGACGGTCAACCACAACAAATTTATTTTGTATTATTTAAAAAAATTCTCTCGACATTAACACACAGGTCGATGTAATATACACCGACTTCACAAAAGGTTTCTATCGTATTGATCACAATCTATTGGTACATAAGTTAGAATCATTTGGATTTTCACAAAATTTTGATAACTTTTTTTAAGACCTATCTACTAGACCGATCTCAGTATGTTGAATGCCACATCAGGTGTACCCCAAGGTTCTGTGTTGGGTCTACTGCTCTTTAACCTATTTATAAATGACATTGTAAACGGTTTGGATGTAAATTGTCTTCTGTATGCCGATGACATGAAATTGTATAGTGTTATCAAATCACCAGATGACTGCAACCACATCCCCAACTAGCCATTCATAAAAGTGTATTTGTTGTGAAGTTCTCATCATCTATTGTATAGTTCAGGAGACAGTGACGATTTTCGGTATTTATTTTCCCAGACAGCAAGCACGAATAGAGAATTGTAGGATTAGCAAAAATAGTTTTAGGAGTAAGAGATGTACTGAAGTTAAGTAAAAAAATAGTCTGATTAATCTGTATGGATAATATATTTGGCAAGTGCATAAAATACACTTTCAAACGAGTTATGTACACAATTATTTCTACGACCACAATTATTTAAAGAATATTCCAGGTGTTTTGTATATTAAAGTGTACGCATAGGACACATAAATAAAATCTTATATCACAATGTTTCACCTAACCAGTTGGTTTATTTATAGAAATTAAACATAATAATTGAAGATATTACAGAAGAAAATAGGGAAATAAATTACATTTCCTTTTACACTTTTATATAATAATTGTTTTATTTAGAATTCACGAATCACTTATTACTCTACATTAATTATAATTATTGTTAGTTTCGTTATGTCAAATCATTTATACTAGAGGTGTGAGGAAAATACAGTGAACTGTGGAACGCCAATATCGTTGGATGCGCGTGGTAGAAATGGTCCTATAATACTGCTAAAAACATAGCTAAATTTTCATAGAAACACTGTACTTTTGACATTTGCGATACTCCGACGCATATGCATTATTAATGTAATCTCATGATTTTACAGTAATAGTTTTTGCAATTTTAGTGTGATTTTTAGGTTATTATGGTTATTCATTTTATTTGGTTCTGATCTTTTGCGCTTTTAGAGTTTTGTCTTTTATATAGTTTTTAATTTGAATTTTAATATTGTGGTCTATTTTTTACTTAAAAGGATAGCAATACGTCCTGGTTCGGGGTGTGACTTTTGGGTTTTAGCTCTCTGAGCCAAATTGTCGGCTAAGTGTCCTCATTTAGGGCACCCAGAACCGAAAACTATATAGGTAGGTATATAATATGTTTTTTTTTAATTATTTTTTAATATGTATGCAGCTTGGATGAGGGCTTTAGGAAGAGATCCTAAGACTGAACACTGACTGCTATAAATGCCGTTTTTAGAGCACATTTCATAGTAAGTGATTTCATTCTAGCAGCAATGAGGAAACGTTTAAAAAACATGCTGTACCAGCTATTACTTTAAGACCTCGTCTCTTTAAGTTATTATTACTTCATTCTAATGCATATATTATATTGGTTTTTAACTTATGTCCTTATGATTAAAAGATGTGGGTATTTTAGTTATGTTATAATAGAAATATATGATACTTTGTATTGACTGACCTACTGGCCACTGGTCATTCCACTTTTACTCCCTTTTTTCATAAATTATCAAATTATTTAAAAACAAATACATACCTAGCTATTTTCTGTAAATTATATTAAAATTTTAGTATTAATACTTTACTAATAAAACTTCAGTTAATTTATCTTATATATATACACAACGGAAGAGTTAATTGGATTTTCTCCTTGTTGAGTTTCAAAAATAGTAATTTAACATGATTTAAAAACAAATACATGAAATGGGCAAAATAGGCCTGCAAAGACACTTTGTAAACAATCTCACTTGTATCGATGTAACGTAATGCGCTAATTCAATCTGGCTTACTTTTGTTAATAGATTAGCGTTCCATTTTAAATATACAGTTCACCGGGAATATATTATTTAAATATACACGGACCGGGAAAACAAGTACGAAAAAATTCACTGGCTCCTGGACTAGAACTGTATCGAAGGAATTTTTATGAATGAAACCATATACGACCCTCCACAATTGCGGTCTACTCTACTTCCGCTGTTGTCAGACATTATTTTTTTTTTTTTGACAATTTAAAGACCTGACAGTAATTGAAGCAAACGCACTAACATTACTACAGTTAAAAACATCGCAAACTTGGCATCAATATTTTAATTTTATCTAAATATTGCATTTCTGTCGAGGATCATCCGCGTTGACTTCAGAAATTGTGTAATCTGTATTGGTTATATATATCTATAGTTAAAAGCACGTAAACTTGGCATCAATGTTCAATCCGATTATTAAATTTCTACCGCGGACACCACCGTTCATTCTTCAAAATTTTTGTAAATAATCCTATCTGTCTTGGTTATATATCTATGACTGCAACACGTTGGAGGTAGCACTTGATCGAGTGCATACCTGGTGTGTTGAGAACAATCTACAATTAAATGCTAATAAATGTTGCATCGTTTCATTTTCCCATAAACACAATGTTATTTATCATGATTACGCAATTTGTGATATATTTGTTCCCAGAGCCTCTGAGTTCAAGGACCTTGGTGTAACATTTGATAGTAAACTTTCTTTTAGTTCACATATTAGTAGAATTTCCAATGAAGCATTTGAAATGTTGGGATTTGTCATCAGAAATACCAAGACCTTTAAAGATATTGATACGCTGTTACTATTATATTATTCTTATGTGTGCTCTAAACTAGAATATGCCTCTGTCATATGGTGTCCCTCGCGCATGATATTTACATTACCACATTAGAACGAGTACAGCGTAGGTTCTTGAAATATTTGAGTTTTAAAGAAGATGGTCTCTATCCAGTTATCGGATACCCCTACATAAATCTCCTTAGCAGATTTTGTGTAAAATCACTGGAAGATAGGCGTGACACAACAGGAATAATTTTATTCACAAAGTCATGAGTGCATCTATTGACTGCTCCGAGGTCTTAAGTATGATTAACTTTCTTGTACCTAGAATTACGTCTAGAGTAAATTCCTTTTTCTATTTACCAACTGCGAGGACCAACATACAAAATCACTCACCTTTGTATAGAATATGCAACTGCTACAATAAAATTGGTTCATCACTTGATATTTTTTCCTGCAGCATTGTTTCAATAAAACGTATAACGACTATTTAATATATATTGTGTTCTTATTTGTAAATATGTTTTTTTTTTTGTATATTTACCATTTGTTCATATTTAAAATCTGTAAGTTTTCCTACCCTGTAATTGGATTTATCCGTTGGGTAGTGTAATAAAAAAAATATATATCAGAAGAAAAAGATTTGATACATCGACGAATGGGCCATTCTTTTCATTGCCCGTCTTAAAATTTATATAATGAATGTTTAAAGAGTAAACAGACAGGTGCAACCTTCAAATGTATCCCTGAAGAAAGAAAGTAAAAGAGGATACTAGAAATTGTGTCGTCAGATGTAGCAGATCCGTTTACACCAGTCAATTATGATGAATAAAAGTTTTATGTATTCTTTATTTTTGTCAGAAATAAAGCTGAAAACATTAACGTTTGCTTATTTTATTCTTGTCCAAACTATCTAACTTGTTAATAGATTATTACATAAAGCCTAATTTACCTGTAACATCCGTTTACAGTGATCTACCAATCCTCTATACATGACTTCGGTGTCTTGAAGTTCTTGCATCTTTTTAACTAAAGTGTCATTGCATAATATTGCCCGTGAAAGTCCTAAGGCATCTGCAGTGGATGAACTCATATTTTCAACTAATCTGTGCTTCATCTTTTTCATAATTATATCCAAACTTTTCCCTTGTCTTGGGTCAGCGTGTAATTTGTTGTAGTTAATGATTACTTCCTCCTAGAGAAAATTAGCAGAATAATTATCAATTTAATACAAGTAAAATGAAATTTTGGGGGTTAAGTACACTCATTTGGTAGTTTTAATTGGAAAGTTTTTTGAAAGTTTTGAAAATGGGTAATTTTATAAATTTTGATGTGCTAGTTTTAACTTTGCCACCCGCCGTCATATTGGAAAAATGCGCCTAATAGCAGTTTGTTAACAATGTCTCTTTTTCGACTTATTTCACGATAAAAACATTTATATTCAAAATAAAACTGTAGAAAATTTCCTACAATTTATAAGTACTAATTTGTTCGATTTGGAATCTTAAAATTCAATACTGTTCCATAAATTTGATTACATGTAACGGTTATCTAATGGAATGCAAACACAAAAAAAAACAACTAAATATTGAGTTTAATTGCTGTACAATTATTTAAAGTTTATAGAAATGACTTAGGTATATACAAGGATATATTGATTGACTGTTAAACTGTAATAGTAATGGTCACGTGTATTTTATGGAGTTCATATTATGCAGTTAATGATTTATCAAACATTTATCAGACATAATTCACGTGTTCTTTAATGTGAAAATTTTAATAATCAAACCAATTGTGCGTTCACTTTTTAAGTATATTCATTAAAAAGATTTCGCATACAAACTGAAAAACTATCATCCAAAAAAAAATGCATTTTTCAATGGGCGTGTTTAGTGAAATTCAAAAATGTTTTTTTCTAAAAGCTAGCACAAAATCTAATCTAAATATATTTTTTTTTAATTTTTTTTCTTCTCAAATTTTCCTGCAAGAATTTTTGAACTTCCATAAAATTCAAGCAAATTTGAAACGCGCGACACAATGATTTTTGAACATCGTCATAATGAAGCCTAAAATCTGATTGGCTAATTTATAACCTCCCAAACAATTGTCGACATGTTTTTACCTTGTTGCCGCTTCTTATAAAAAATTATTAAAATTCCGGATAACCGGCAATTTAGGGGTTAAGATCGTATAATTTAAAAAACCATATATATTAAAACTAAAATAATATTTGTTTAAATTCAGTTTTTATAATGCAACTTAACAATTACTATTTCAATAAACTTTCTTCTTAATCGAAATGTTATTCAAATCGCAAAATATTTTCTCTAGGTCTGGCAACGAAGCGTTGTTTTATCTCTGCGGCTAAATTCTAACCTCGTTTGCGAGATTATTTTGATTTATTTAAAAATTGATATTTATATTTTTTTAAAATAGCCAAATTTCAAACAGGACTAAAAGAAGAATCTTTAGACAACTTACCCAATGTGGCTTCTAACATGATTAATGATTTTTTATATAAGTAACATAAAGTTTATTGGTTCTGAAATTCACAACGTAAGTACACTTTCTAAGTTCCAAATTTTTCTAGAATTATTGTATTCAAAGAGATTTGTGTTTAAGGATAAAACATTTTTTTATTATACAAACTCACTACTCAATATTGTTGACATTTGTAATATCCTAGGACTGTTGGCCAGAATATAGTAAATAAAATTACTTTATTTTAAGTTTAAGACGGTTTACTAACCTAAGAAACAAGGGTGGGTCGATTCACCGGTCGTCTATCGGACAAGACATGTGACAATAACAACCTCACCTATGACCACTGTCCAGCTAGACTAGAATGTTAGTAGTCTAACTAGATCTATCTTACATCCTTCCCCTTACAGATCTATAGATCTAATCTATCAGGTGCTTTAATGTTACGACCAGACCTATCAGGATTTTACCTTGCTGATGGCATTTTTGGGTTTTTGCTTAGAGTTACATCATTTTGATGTTGTTTACTACCCTCGCCATTATGTGTGTGGCTTACTAATTGGTTATGGGTCTGATCATCTAGTCGCGTCAAATTAGCATGAAAAAAGTGAAAATGGACATTTTTTTGCGGAGAGGTCCGATTGAGATGCGGTTTTCTGCAAAATGTTCAGGAAACCCTCCATAACAAAAGGTATATCTAACCTCTGTAAGCTCGCAAATTCTTAATTGTTTGTTTAACAAATGAGGCATTTTTGTTAGAGTGTTGATGAATATGTGGTAAATGCTACACACGGTTCAACGAAAATGTCTGGAAAATGTTCTCTCGGGAAGTTTCGAGGTCCTTCTTAATCGCTTTGGTGTCAGATTTATTATAATTTATTGCTAAATTGTTGTAACTTGGCTAATTAACAAATTAAAAACTCAACCCCCAAAATTACTAGAGGACCGGGATTTTTCCAGCATTTCTGGCTTGTTAAGGTGAACCATCTACTGAAGATGCAGCTCTACAATACATCAAGAAAATTTATCTTCAAATTCAATGCTGGATGGGAATCATTTTGGACCCCAGTGACTGGGGCTGAGAATTTGATACTAAAGTCTATTCAAATTTAATTTACGCCTGATGTAAACAGAAGCAGGTGGACGCTAAAATTGAGCAGGGCCGTATTTTACTTTTCCGTCTTGCAAAAATGTAAAATAAAAGAGTGTAATTGTGAAATTATTTTTTTATTACGATAAAAACATATTTTGTAAAGTAAAACTATAAAATAAATGCCATACACGGTCTCCCAGACTTTAGTGACATTTCTGGACGAAGATAGGTGAGCGACATAAACTGCGTTAACCTGCAATACAAATTAATAAATGTATTTGACTTTAAAAGAGATGGTTGCATTATATTTAGTTCATTACATATGTCTACTGTGATACAGAGCATTAAAACAATCATATTATAAAATTATATTGTACAGGGTGTCCAAATAATTGCAAATTCTTTAATAGCTAATATATATCTACTAAAAGCATTAAAAAAACTTTAAATATAAGAGGTATTTGGTATTTGAATTTGGTATTTGATTTAAAATTGTGCATCTTGAAAAGAAACCTTTTGTATTTTTGATAACTTTTGTTCTTGTTCTACTAGTATTTAGATTAGACAACTTGTACCCTGTATTATAGCAATCTTCCTTACTTGACTTAGCACTATTCTGAATCGGATAAATTGGTTAGACTTGAAAGGCTATCTTCATTAATCAAAATTACAAGTGGTTCTACCTGAACCTCTATAATATTATACAACTCCCACATTTTTACTTCAACTTTTTGGCGAACATGGTCGATACACTTTTTCCATTTTTCTGGAGAAATTAATAATATTACTTCTTCAAAAAGAATTTTAATGTCTCCAGATTTAAATGTTGAGTTTTTATCTGCTACGTATTGTTTAACGTCAACCTAGATTAATTCAATAGGGTTAAGTTCACAATGATACGGAGACATGTGAAGTATTATGTTGTTTTGCTGCTTAGCCATTTCATCTATTACATATCTATCATAATGTTTATGTTGCTTACCAAGTTTTAGAAGTTGGATCTTAAGCATTTGGTAGTCGAATTCAATTTTTTTCCCTTATAGCCATTTTTAAATATCACCTTTTTTAGACGTCGTAGATATTTTTACAGTGGCCGTGGTCTAAAGTTAGTTATATACACATGAGTGTAAAATTGTTTATTTTTATGTTCAAAATTGGTTAGATCTCTTAAAATGTTTTGAAAATTGGGAAACTAGACGTTATATACAATAAACATACAGATAATTTTTTTTTTACTCAATTCCTACTTTGATGAAATATGAGTTTTAAACTCATTTGGGCCAGACCGATTCTGCCTGGTGAGCACTCGGCAAGCCAAGCAATATGACCCGCTTTTCGTCGTCTTGTTTATATATGGATGAGCAGTCTATTAATCTATATATGTCATTGGTATGTAGTTATTACTGCGTGAATTGCATATTCAAATTCATCGTAACTATTTAGGCCTTTTTCGGATAAGAGTGCCCGTGACAGTGTGTCTGTAATATAAAGAGGTATTTCCCTGGTTTATAAGCCACTGTTAAATTATAGTTTAACAGTCGTAGACGCATTCGTTGTAGCCGCGGTAAAATACTTGCTAATTCTTTTCTGAAAATAGCTTCCAGTGGTTTATGGTCAGAAGTAACCTTTATTTTGAGACCATATATAAAGTAGTGGAATTTTTGTATACTAAATATAATTGCTAACATCCCTTTTTTAATTTGCGCATATTTTGACTCAGTTTTTGTTAGACCCCTGGATGCAAATGCGACTGGATGCCCATCCTGTAGTAAACAGACACCCAATCCATCTTTTGATGCATCTGTTTCTATTTCAATTTCTTTGTTCGAGTCAAAATATCTTAATATGGGAGCTGTTGTCAAAAGATGCTTGAGTTGAGAAAGAGATTGTTCATGAGTCTCATTCCATTCCCAACTTACATCTTGTTTAATTAGATTTCGAAGTGGAGCTATCACTTTTGACATATTTGGTACAAATTTTGCCATACCCCTAATTCCCAACAATTCATTTCTGTTATTAGGTCTTGGCAACTCAGACACAGCTTTTACATAATTTTCATTTTAGTAAATTTGTCACATAAACTTTACTGATTTTAATTTAAACTGAATTTTTGAACTATTAACTTTAATATTATATTTTAAAGCACGTTCTAGAACTAGCTGCAGGTTTTTATCGTGCTCTACCTCATTTGAGCCTGTTACATCAAAATACAGCCTCACTCCATTTAAGTTTCCAAATACATCAAAGTTCTTTTTATGAAAGACTTCTGCGGCCGAGCATATTCCAAATAGTCTCATAAATCTATTGCGCCCAAACGGCGTTCCAAAAGCTGTCTAATCAACACTTTGGTCATCAATTTTCACTTGAAAGTACCCGTCTTTCATATCTAGAACGGTGAAGTATTCTTTATCATATAATTTTATCGATATTTCTTCCGCAGTTGGTATTAAAAAGTGTTCACGTTTTATGGCCTCATTTAAATGTTTAGGGTCTTAACATAACCTTAAATCTCCATTTTTCTTTTCCAAAATTACTAACGGGTTCAGTCACTCAGTAGGTTTTTCTACTTTTTCAGTAACACCCTGACTTTCAAGTTGATTTAATTTTTGTTTAAGTCACTCATGAAGCGATCTTGGAACCCTTCTGGATGGCTGAACATGTGGTTTTGCACCTCTTTTCTTTAAATATTTGTTTTGATTTCCTTCATATGTGCATACTGATGCAAAATGGTTGCGATTTTGACATTTAGCACAAGTTTTTCCCATTGCTAGACACTTTGCACTTCTAGAGTGTTTATAACTACACTTTTTACATGAGCTTTGTTTATTTGACGAGGTAGCTTGCTTAGTTCTATCCGAATATCTCTCATTTCTTACTGTGTTTACTTCCAGTTCATTTTGTAAGGCTTTCGATTGTGATTTACTTATTTCTACAGCCCTGCAAAATTCGATTGCTTTTTTTTAGGGTCAGTTTCGATTCTCTTAATAATCTTTCTTGGGTAATCATATCGCCGATTTCCATGACGATTTTGTCTCTTACGATTTCATCAAAGTCTTGGTAACAGTTGTTTTTACGGCTTTTCTTAGCTCCGTCAAGAAGCTGTTAAACGCTTGGCCCTCTGTTTGATACACACTATCAAATTTAAATCTTTCCTAAATCATGTTGGCTTTAGGTAAACAATATTCTTCAAACTTAATCTTCACCGAATCTAGTTTCGTTCTTTCATCATCAACATATGTAAAACTATTATGGAGCTCTTATACATCATCCTTAACAAAATTTAGAAATACGGTGATTTTGGTCTTCTCTGCTTTTGATTGCAGGCCGGTTGGAGTCATAAACACGTCGAACTTTTGTGAGAACCTTTTCCAATTGTCAGCAATATTGCCGTCAAGCACCAGTGGTTCTGGCGGTCGAAATAAATTTTTCATTTCCACGTGTTTTAATTTATCAAATATGACTAATACTACAAAGATTCTATTACACACCTGACACCATGTAATATCCCAGGATATAATAAATTAAACTACTTTATTTTAAGTTGAAGATGGTTTACTAACCTAACAAACAAGGGTGTGTCGATCCACCGGTCGTCTACCGGACATGACATGTGATATTGACAACCTCACCTATGACCACTGTCCAGATAGACTAAAATGTTAGTAGTCTTACTAGATCTATCTTACAACATTTTTCTATTCTATTGTAGGTCTACCAAGAAAGTCATATGTTCGGTTACCATTTGTAACATTAAAGCTAGAATTACACTAGAACATAAAAAGTTTATAGCGTAGGTAATAAATGATCAAACGGAAAAGATCATACCTTGTAAATTTAAAGAATATTCTGCTTTTAAAGGTAATTTCAATTCCTGTCAACATTAAAAAGCTCAAAATACGGTACTAAATGATTTTTCATGGTTATATTTTTTTTAAGTGGGTAAAACATAGTGTTGCTTTCTTGTTGTGGCTTCTGAACACCATCGAAGTGAATAACCTTCCATCACATCAACATTGTGTTATTAGAAAAGGTCACTGTTGTCAAAAGTTTGAAGTTATAATAATTTGAGGGTGTCGATTCTTCTTCGAATTAAAAACATTAAATGTGTGTTTTTATAAATAATAAGAGTGAATAGTGACCAAAAAATTATACTCCATATTTAACTGCAAATGTTGCTTTCTACGATGATGGTGGGTGAGGTTTTCCGGGTTTTCCTCACCTGTAAGTCAAATGACACCATCAATCATCCTTAAGTCGCCCCGGAGCGCCACGGCAAATAATAATAATAGCCGTCCCTTCCCCTACACAAGTCGTTCAGTCAACTTCAGGGGTTGAAATTCACTCGTAAGGGGGTGAATTAGGGAGAGTATTATTATTATTATTATTATTATTATTATTATTATTATTATTATTATTATTATTATTATTATTATTATTATTATTATTAATGAACATAATGGGCTTTTTTGTGTGGAATCTCCAAAATTTTGTATCACGGAAATGAAAATCATAAATGTCACTATTAGATAAAGATAACGATCAACTGTATATGTTATGGTATCACAGATTCTTTAGTGATCAATAGAAATAGGCGCTTCATTATGACGCGGTAAATGGCGCAAAAGTGTTTTAAATAATAGATTTAAAAGTAAACTTTTTAAAGTACTATAACTTCATTATTCATTATCTATTTAAAGTATTTTTTGCATGAAAAAAAAAGTTTTTTTGTGCTTAAACAGTTAATAGCATTAGATTCGTTAAATTCGTTTACACTAAACACGTCCATTATTCTGATACATAAAAAATATGCTTTATACAGTTTATAGACAGCGCATAAAAGACCAATGCCTTTAAAATGGAAGTTTTATTGTAACACGAACATTCATGTTAATATATAGTTTTCAATTTTTGGTAAATAAGTTTACTAGCTGAATTTGACAATAGTAATTTCAGAATAAAAACTTTTTCCTAAAACTCATGCCTCATATGGAAAATCGAAAAATTCAGCCCAAATCTTTTAAGAGCATTGCCAAAGAAGTAGCAAATACAACATTTATTTACCTTTGCCGCCTGAATCATTTTAGCAACTTCTACTTTTGTTTTTCCTTTAACAGACTGCCCATTAACAGAAACAAGTTCGTCTCCAGATTGTAAAGTTCCATCTCTAGCAGCTGCTGTGTTATCGAATATTTGAACTATGTACAGACATGGACATAATGGAGAGCCACCACCAATACTTATTCCAATGAGGTTATTATCATCTTTTCGAATAGTAACACTGCCAGAAGTTACTGTCATCCCCCTAAAAATCGTTAAATTAATATGATATTAAGGGCCAGTATTCTCAACTTTGAGTAAAGTTGAAAGTAACTACTTTGCTAGTTAAACTATAGGGCTATTATTTGTTAATCTGTCAAGCAAACCTAGATTTAACTTTACTCAGAGGTGAAAAGATTGATTCTAAAACAGATAATATAAGAACAAGCACTCTTTTCCTATAAAATTCTGGTAAAGTCATTTTCTTTAAAGATGGTGTTATGAATTTGGTTGGTAAAGTTATTTCAATGGCCTATAGTAACAGTCTATTAACATCACTATTTTTAGCGTTAGTTAAATGATTTGATATAAAAATTAAAGATTTTTGTAATTAAGAGATGAAACATAATGTAAACATTTTGCTATTTGTGAAGCATATTGGATAAGCATAATTATTTTTGTGTATTATCATTTCTATTTGGTTAATTTCTGGTTTAAAATTTCCGTTCATCATTAATAATCTGATGTTAAATAAAAGGCTATAAGGTGTTTGATAAAGGATAAACAGTTATTTGCCTTTAATATTGTAATGCATACAAATAATAGACTTAATTTAACCAAAAATAATTTTCATTACAACAGAAAAATGACACAGAGTAAACACAAGATGACGGGTATAAGGAGTCTGGTTTATCGATACTAGTATAAAAGATATATCAGTCATTAGACTGCAGAAACTGGTCCATATTGTTAACTGCAATGTCTGTGTAATAATTGGAAGGTTCTGATAATGTTGTAATTCAGCAGTTGTATTTTGTATTATTACTTAATTAAAAATGATTTTTTTTTTGGTACTGATGACTGTGAATTAGTGATGATCGTCAACCAATAGAAACATCTCATCAGCAAATTGTTATAAATGCGCAATGTTATTCCAATAAAAAAATAGGACAAGAGTGCCATGATCTTACAAAATATTGTATATATACTACACATTGCAAAGCTTGGTATATCACAATTTGCTATAGCAAAGATTTAGAAGAAATTGGATGCAGTTTTGTAAAAAAAAATAATCGTATTGTGGTGTTAGACTGAGATTTTTTTTACAAAACTACCTCTTACAAACAAAGCAAGCAATACTCAAATTGTAGAAAGCAATAAATTTCATGTTCAAGTCATTAAGATAATCACTGAATATTTTCACTATAAGGAGAAAATAAGTGCCTGGTGCCTGTTTCATAAAAAAATACAGATGACTAATATTAAATTTATTACATAACATGGTTGATTAGCATAGAATATGTTTTGGAAAAGTTGTACCACTACAAAAATGTCAAAATCTTATTTAGCTAAATTACCAGTAAAGTCAGTTAAAACCCTTACATCATGCAGACTTGCCGGCCAATTAGCATAGTTCTATAATAGTTCTAAATTAGTTTAATATTAGTTTTATATTAGTTCTATATTAGTTCTATATTAGTTCTATATTAGTTCTATATTAGTTCTATATTAGTTCTATATTAGTTCTATATTAGTTCTATATTAGTTCTATATTAGTTCTATATTAGTTCTATATCAGTTCTAGTTCTATATTAGTTCCATATTAGTTCTTTATTAGTTATATATTAGTTACATATTAGTTTTATATTAGTTCTATATTAGTTCTTTATTAGTTCTATATTACCCAAGTAGCATTATAGTGACAGAAACTTATATCGCCACTTCGATTAAGTGATTATTACGTTATAATCACTAAATGTACCCCTATATAGTGAGAATAACTTCATTTTATATTTTCCCAGTTGTAGCCACGTGTATTTCACCACTGGGAATCGGTTCAAAGTTTTATATTATTTAGTTGCCTCTGAAGGTGTTTGAAACGTTGTAGCCACTAAGCGGTACCACTTTAAAGTTTCACAAACTTGAATGTGGAAAATAGTAGTTACGGCCACCAAATCATATCACTTAAATACCACCTAGAAGTGGCAGTAATCTTAAAGTGGGTTTGAGAGTTTTAATAACGTTTCGCGAACCATAAATATATCTTTAAAGTGGCAGCACTTGATTTTATAAATGCAGTAGTTCTTGCCACGTTTTTGCCACGCTCAAAATTCACAATGAAGTAACCGTTGCCTATTAGTGGCCTGCTTTCTACATTGTCCGCCTTTACAATAAAGAAAAAACTTCCAAAGTGTCGTCGATATATGCGCAAATTACTTTGTTTTTAGACTTATCTAGAGTGCATTTGTGTGTAAAATGGGAAACAACAAGAAGCCTCGAAAAAAAATTACTTTTAGACATTCGACAACTTTTTACAGATAACTTAAGTAGTAAACAAGCAGCTGTTGTCATGGGAACTTATTGGATTTCGCCTCAACGTTTCTCGTTGTGAAAAATTTAAATGGCCTGGCCAAAATAAGGTTCCTTCGTTTTCCCACATGTCGGGGACAACGTAGAAACAAACACCCCTCTTTTCTTGAGTCGATAGAATTTTAAAACTCATATCTAAATCTAAGGTGTGCACACAAACACAATATAAAACATTAAATACATAAATTTAAGTGATCTGTGACATAAACAAATTTAACGGGTGAAATCTACTGTAAATTTTGAGGTTATATGGAATAATACAGCTAATACAGTGTTGCGATATCACCAGAGCGCAATTTCCCTGAGAAGATATAGTATACAAATTTTTTCCATAATCTTCTTGAATGTACACTTTATTTGTACAGGGTGTTCAGTTATTTTTAGAACGGCACTTAAAATGGTTACTAAAAAAGATAAAATAAATTGTTAAACACATAAGTTATAGGGCTTTACTAGAAATTACTAATGAGATAAACAAACAGTAACCTGAAAGGTAACTAACAAGTATCAACTTTGTGAATTAAAATGGGAACCCTATATACTTTTTACTATGGCGATTCCTAATATACTGTACCTTAATATTTGATTAAGCCGTTTTACATTACCTTGATCTGGGTTGATGGATGAAATATTTGTAATTTAAGGTAAATTTGATTTTCCCCCCCTGATATTGGCCTTACTGAACAACTCAAAAACTCTGACATAAGTGGAGAAATGGCTGATCTAGCAACAATGTAAATAAGTGATGAACAATATTTTGGATTAGTTCCAGCTGCCACTTATTTGATGAAAGTAACTACAAAGTGGCATATTTTTAGTTTCTGCAACTTTAAAGTTTTTTTTTCCTGAAGCAGACATATTTGTAACCATTTTTAAGATCGTCATTATGAGAAAATATAAAGGTGCTATTTAAAAATTTTTTTTTTCGTCCTTATAGCTTCAATGCAACAAAATTCAAATATATTTAATGATTTTAAATAATCAAGATTGATAAAAAATACTGTTTAAGGCATCTAAATAAATAATTTCGAAGATGCAAAATTTACAGATTTTAACTTTTTATTTAAATATAGAGTATTCCAATAGCGCGTGCCCATATTTCGAGCTACAACACCTATATTTGACAGTAAACTTCCAATCGTTCCAACTTTTTGCCTATCAGAATTCCTGAATCAATATTTTTAAACCACCTTATTATTATTATTATTCAGTATGTGCCTACTTATTAGTTTACTAGTTATGTCAAGTTAGAGAATAAGCAAGGAGAATGGGAGAAATAATTTGCAGGACGGAGACGAGCTACAAGTACCATATTACTATATTATTTTATTAGTTCTATATTAATTCTATATTAGTTCTATATTAGTTCTATATTAGTTTTATATTACTTATATATTAGTTCTATATTAGTTATATATTAATTAGTTCTATATTAGTTCTATACTAGTTTTATACTAGTTCTATATTAGTTCCATAATAGTTCCTTATTAGTTCTATATTATTTCTTTATTAATTTATGTTCTATATTAGTTCTATATTAAAGATAGAGGATTGCCGTTTTCGCGACACTGCTACTTTTTCGTAAGACTGAAGATGCCGTTAACAAAATTTTCTTATGCATTTTAGTTTTTAAGATACAGGGCATTTTTGAAAATGTTGCTTTTGGGACCCCCTCGTATCTCCGGTATCCTTCAACTTATCGAAAAGGAAAAATAACACTCGGATAGATTTTTTTCCATAGAAAGCAGTGGTGTAAATAATTTTTATTACATATTTACTATTTTTGAGTTATGAAGCAAACTTATATTTTTTACTTATAGGCTAAAATTTGTCTTTTTTTTACTTTTTCGATATACAGGGTGTTTCATAATATATGCGCAGGACTTCAGGACGTGATAGCTCGTCAAAAAATATGAAAAAAAGTTTCTATTAACTTACCCTCTAAAATGCACCATTTTCGAGATACAGGGTGTTGAAATTGAAAAAAAAAATTCTACGCCACTGGAAAAAGTACGATTTCGAGACGCCCATTTGAACCGCCTATGTTTTCTACACAAAAAAGTTACTCTTGGTCATACGCTCTAAAGTCGACCGTTTTCGAAAAAAATCAAATTTTGTTTTATTTCCAGAAATTAACCATGTATTTCAACATTAAAATTTGATTTTTTTCATATTTTTGGACGAGCTATCGCGTCCTGAAGTCCTGCGCATATATTATGAAACACCCTGTATAAAAGTATGCACTTTTTCTCAGAAACACGCAAATAAATGACAATTTTCTAAAAATTAAATGCATAATAATTTAATAGTAGGCCATGGACGCAAAAGAATTTTTCAGTAGTTAATTTGAAGTATATTTAAAAATTCTCATAAAAAAAATTTATAGGATTATTCTGGTATTTTTATAACCACATCTCATAAACACTAAAGGTGGTAAAATTAAGTAAGTACGATATAAATATTTGTGTTAACTTTCATTTGACGAATGTACTATGGATATGGCACCATAAACAATGATAAAAAATAAGCACATAGTAAAATCGTCTATTGTTATTTATTGATGAAAAAACTATACAAAGTAGTGGAAAGTCATTAAATTGTGTGTGATAAGATAAGATATAATAATTGTTATCGTAAAATGATAAAAACGTTGGCTATTTCTAAATTCAGAGCATA